CAGCGATGCCTCTTCCCCAAGCTAGGAGGGGGAGGTCAGGCCTGCAGTGTGGGGCATGCAAGGGAGGGGAGTGAGGAGGTGGGGGAGCATCATTCCAGATCCTTTCCCTCCAGCACCCCCCTCATCCCCATCAAAGGAGGAGAGAGCATTCCAGGTGGAAGGAATGGCAAATGCAAAGGCTGTGGATTAAGGATGTGGAGGCGGGGAAAGCCTTGGAGCTTGGCTGGAACTGAGGTTGGGGCCCCCTGGGATTGCTCAGTGGAGAAGAACTTGTTTGATGAGAGAGAGGGAGAGAGGGAGGGAGGGAGGGAGGGAGGGAGGGAGGGAGGGAGGGAGAGAGAGAGAGAGAGAGAGAGAGAGAGAGAGAGAGAGAGAGAGAGAACACGAACCCAGCTAGAGCTGAGAATGCTGCCAGAGGTGGGGAAGTAGCTGGAGACCATCCTAGACTCTGAGAACAGAGCTCTCTACTGTCTTCCCCCCAGATAGGGGTGGCATGGAGGGATGGAGGGGTCAGGGTGATTTTTCTTGGTCTCTCCCTTTAGAATCCCTTAGCAGGCTTTGCTCTGCCAACTCTGTACCAGCCACTGGCTCATGGCTTCTTACGCATTCTCATGTTTTCTTTCCAGCTCTATAAGATCAGTATTATTCACTCCATTTTATAGATGAGAAAACTGAGGCTTAGCCAGATTATATAACTTGTCCAAAGTTATGCAGGGTGTAAAAGGCAGATTTTAGATTCAAACCCAGGACAATTTTTCAGAGATGGCTATTTTGCCTGTTATACTGGTTTGGGCTCCTTTCCCAGAGTGCTTGCCATCCCCATAGCAACAAGGAGAGGAACTCTTGTGCTGACAGAACTTCATAGTTTATGCAGGCCTTATTTTTTCTACTCCTTACAACAGCACCTTAGACAGGGTTGTTATCATCCCTATTTTATAGATGAGGAAACTGAGGCTCAGAGAGGAGGTGTGACTAGGTCAAGATTACAGAGCCATTAAGTGGCATAGTTAGGACTCAGACTCATTTATATCCCTGGCAGAGGAAGAAGATCTGTTTCCTGCTCTTATCAGCCTCAGGGCACAGGGAATAGACAAGGGTTACTTTTTAGAATTGATGGGAAAGGAATGAGGTTTGGCCTTCAGGAACCTGGGGACTTGCTACTGGCAGTGCATACTTTCATCCCTCTAACTCTAGGTGATAGCTCTAATTCTTTGAATAGAAGAGGGAGGGCTTGCCCTCAAGAACAGCAAACCCCTCAAGTTCAAATTTTGGTTTACATTTCAGCTGTGCTGCTTCCTGGCTGGGTAGCTTTGGGCAAGTCACCTAACCTCTCGGTGTTTCCTTTATCTCACTTGTAAAATGATGATAATACTAGACCTAACTCGTAGGACAGGCTATGTGGATTTATGAGTTAATGTATATTCAGCACTTAGCACATGGTTGGCACACAGTAAATGGTCAATGTTAGTGCTTATTACTACCACTATTAAAATGCACAGCATTACCCTCATCTGAAAGCAACTTGTCTATCTCTATTGTCTAAAAGGAGAAACTAAGCCTGGCTGGTGTGGCTCAGTGGATTGAGCATTGTCCCATGGACTGAGAGGTCCTGGTTCGATTACCAGTCAGGGCACCTGCCCAGGTTTCCAGCTCAGTCCCCAGCAGGGGGCGTGCAGGAGGCAGTCGGTCAATGTTTCTCTCTCACATGGATGTTTCTCTCTCTCCCCCTTACTCTATCTCTAAAAACTCAATAAAAGCATGTAAAATTATTTAAAAAAATAAAAGAAGAAACTAAGGCTCCTATTGCCAGTCAACCTTCAAGCAAAGCCCCAGAGTCTTACTTAGTACAGGTAGTAAATGCTGATATTAACAATAATAATTATTATTAAAATTAATATTCAACAGCTGCTTACTATGTGCCAATCACTGTGCTAAGTGCTTCCAAGTTTTTATCTCATTTAGTCCTCACAGCTCTGGGAAATAGAAACAATTATGATCTCCATTTTCTGGATAAGGAAACTGAGGCTCAGATAAGTGAAGTCACTTGCCCAGGGTCACAATGCTAGGAAGTGGTATAACTGTGATTTGAACCCAGGTTTTTTTTGTTGTTGTTGTTTTTTTAATCCTCACCTGAGGATATGCTTATTGATTTTAGAGAGAGTGAGAGAGAGAAACATCAATGTGAGAGAGAACAACAATTAGGTTGCCTTCTGTGTGTGCCCCTTCCAGGGATGAAACTCACAACCTAGGTATGTGCCCTGACTGGGAATCAAACTTGCACCCTTTCAGCATATGGGATGATGCTCTAACCAACTGAGCCACACTGGCCAGGGCTGAACCTAGGTTTGCCTGGCTCCAAGGTCTTTTATGACAAAGTCAGATGACAACTTGCCCAGTGTATAGACTCTTGCATCAGCTCTGTCCCAGATGCATCTACCTGCTGGATCTGCCTATCACTATCTGCCTCAGGATCACCTCCCTTAATGCTGGGAAGACCAAGCACGGGTTTATAGAGTGCCTTCTATGTGCCAGTGCCAGAATGCTTTATACACATTTCCACTTTGAAACCTCACCCCCACCTTATGACCCCCATTATTATCCCCATTTTTCAGAAGAGTAGCTGAGGCACAGAGAGGTGTGGTGACTGCTCAAGGTCAAACAGTCCAAAATAAGATGGCAGAGCCAAGATTCAAATCCAGATGGGTTGGCAAATCCAGAGCTTGCATTCTTTCAGGGACTATCAGAAAAGTACAGAAATCCTTGGAGAATAGCCCCACTTTCAAGGCCAGGTTCCTTCCTCTGTAACACCTCATTTGTTTAGGCCCCAGTGAGTTTTGCCCTCCCTCCCCATTGCCTATCTCTATTGGCCTAGATGCTTTCCACACCCTCTCCCTTGGCCTGCAACACTTCTCTCAACTACCTGTTGTCTAGTTAACCCCCACTCATCTAGACATCACCTCTTCAGGAAGCTTCCTCTGACCCCACCCCATCCCGACATTCACTCTTATAAACATATTGTACTTTGCCTTCTTGTTCCTTATCACAGTTTCTAATTGTATTTTGATTCATCTGATCATTTGTTTAACAACTTACTTCCTCATCAAACTCTAAGCTCCATGAGGGTCTGAGTCTATTTTGTTCACCACTGTAGCTGCATCACTGGCAGGCTGCCCTACATGGTTGGTGCTTAATAATTTTTTATTGAATAGATGAATTTATGAATGAATAAATCGCTACTAGGCACTTTTCACACATGGCTCATTAATTCCTCAATTAACTCATTGACTCCTCACAGCTGCCCATTTTAGAGAAGACAAAGGTGAGGTTCAGAGAGCTAGAAAGTGGTGGAGCTTGGATTCAATGGAAGGTCAGTCTGACCCCAAAGCCACTGATCTCTGCACAGCACCTGCTGCCTCCCAGCACCCACTGGCCACAGACAGGATTTAAATAGTAATTGATTGTCAGACCACATGTCCCAATTTGAGCCTGGAGGTCATGACTCAGCCAGCAGTGGGGCCATAGACACCACCCACTTGGTGGTCTCTGCTTTTTCTTAAAGTCTTAGGCTGCTTCCCCTCCTACTCCCTTCTTGATTTCCTTTTTCTTCCAGAGGGGGAAAAGGACTAGAAATTACAGCCAAGGTAGCCCTACTGGGAATAACAATCCTCAGTGAAAACAGCCCTGTTCTGAGCTCAGAGAGACCTGGATTTAAGTCCTGGTATGAAGGCTGCCCCGCTGAGGGCCCACAGTGGCGTCACTGCCCCTCTTGGAGCTTCTGTGCCCTCCTTTGGGATTCTGTCTGGATTGCTGATCAACCTGTCATCCCTAACTCATTTCCTGATTCTTAGGATACCAGAAACAGCTCAGGCACAACCCTTTCCCCCTGAAACCTTAGTGATTAACAATAGCTGGGGGCGGGGGCGGAGGCAGAGGCGGGGGCGGGGGCGGGGGCGGGGGGTGGTGGGGAGCTGTGCCAGTCTTTGGTGACTAGAGAGATGCGAAACTGGCCTGGCACCCTCAAGACCGTCCCTGGAATGCTAAAGGATTGGGGGAGGAAAGTCTGTCTCAGGAGACACCATGCTTGGAAGGAAGACATACAGGAATGGAAGCCAAAAGATACAGGTCTGAGTCCCAGGGTTGTTTCAAATTCCCTGGGTGACCCAGGGTAAGTCATAGAGTTTCTCTTCTGCAAAACAAGAACACTATCTGCCTTACAGAGTTGCTCTAGAGAATTAAATGAGGTATCTTTGCTAACTTGAGAATGTCACATTGATATCCAGCTGCAGCCCTTTAGAATAAACACGATGCACATATACCCACTCATACATAAATCTTCATCAAACACTCCAGGACGTGAGACAGACGGGGCTGCTTCTATTTCTCAGAAGAACTGAGACTCAGATAAATTCAGGGAGTAACCTGAAGTCGCTGAGTGAGGTGGCTGAACTAGGGTCCAGCTCACCCCTGACCCTGGTCTTTCAGAACCATCTCCCAGTCCCAGGACCCCAGGCCTGGAGGCGGGGTGGACCCTTTAGCAGAAGGTTGGAGCCGGTGACTCACTCTCTCCACCCTACTTTCTGCCGGACCTGAGGAAGAGACAAAACTATCCGCAACTTGAGGGGTGTTCACAGCAAGTTCATGAGCTTGTCCCTCCGCTCCACCAAAAATACTGGTTCTTTTAACCCTAAGAAAAATAATTAATCTTTCAATACACTTTGTATGACTTTTTACACTTTCTTAGGTGGAACATTCCTACTATGAATTTATGGGTTGATTTAGTTTAATCTCCACCTCTACTTCACTTGGTTTGTCCTCTCGCTGTTTACTCCGATTGCGGAAGTAGCTCGGGTGGAGCTCCCGGGACGGGACTCCTGAGTACGTCTTTTGCGTAGCTATTTAACTGGCATTGCATACAGGCCAATGAAATGCCCGAGAGCCCCAGGAGGGTGGGACAGAGAGCCAATCAGGGCCTTTGGCGGGGTGTGGCTGCGTCCCGGGGCGGGGAATCGCGTAATGGCGGACGCGGGCCGGTTGAGCACGGCTGGGGGCGTAGCGCACTGAGGGGCGTCCCGCAGTGTGGCAGCCGGCTAGGCGGCCCGCGGTAACAGACCCCAGGCGGGAAAGAGCGACCAGCCGCCTGTCTGTCGCTGAGGGCGACTGCGCAAGACCAGGTGAGCAACAAGTCCCCACGGGCGGGCCCCGCTGTGAGGTGCTGGGCCCGGCCGGCCACCCCACCCGAGCCGCGCTGAGTCCTGCGGGAGTTGGGGCCTCGCCCTCACCACGGACCCGAAGAGGTCGTGTGAGCGGTCTGCGCCGGGTGGCGTCTTACTCTCCACTTCCTTCCCTAGGGAGGAGGTGTCCTGGAGATCCCCTCGGAGACTGGAGGGGTCCGCCAGTCTGTGAGATTTCGAAAGTGCCCAACCTGACCTAGCTCTGCCACCAACTCGCTGAGTGACGTTGGGCAAGTCACTTCCCTCTCTGGGCCTCAGTTTCCCCATTATTAAAGCGGAGGCTTTGCGGTCAGATGTACACGAGTGGATCCCAGATGTTTGAGATCTTGGGCAAGTTCTTCCTCAGGCGGAGACATAGTTTCCATCTATGGGCCATGAAGGAATTGAGGTGCACTTTGGGACCCCTGGCCTGCTAAGTTGCCAAGTGGCGGTTGGGACTGTGTGTGTACACGTACGTATGTGTACAGGACGGTGCTGCAGTGTAAGGAGGAGGTACATATTGTTCAGGATGTACTGCAGAATAAGGGTTGGCCAAAGGGGCTCTTCCACTAAGCCTTGGATGGACCCCAGCCTAGAATGTAACGATGTTTTGGTCCTTCATGATCCTAGAGCCTCTGGGACGGGGAAGTTTTATAAAGTTCTCCATAAAAATCAGAAAAGGAAGGAATTCTTGGAGCCTTTTGGGGCTGTGACTGAAATTTAGGCCCAAAGAATTCAGAAGGATTAGGAGGAGGGAGAACATTTATGGCGCTCCTACTATGTGTCAGACCTTTAGGCATATGTTCTTATTTAATTTTTAAAGCAACTGTTGATAATTTATACATAAGGAAACTAAGTTAAGGAATTAAGTTACTTGCTCAAGGTCACCCTACGTAAGGTGCAGAGCTTACCAAAGATAAGGTTGTTTCCTTAGAGACTCACTGGGCAAGGGGGAAGTCTCTGTCCACTTAAAGGAAGTTTGCTTTGTCACAAACGGGGGGAGGGGTCTGGTCCTAGATACTTCTGGCATGGAGACAGGTTGGGTCTTGATCTCTGTGAGTTGGAAAGGACGATTTCTAAATTGTGAAAGTCACTTTGAAGTGTGTTCGAACTTCTGAGAGCTCAGTTTGAATCCTGACTGGGTGGCCTATAGAAGAAAGTTCACCAACTATTGGTGTATAGACTTGACACTTGGTTCAGAGTGGTGCGAGCCTAGTAACTTTTTCTCCTCCCTATGAAGGCCAAGTTTTCTTGGGATGAGAGAAGTTTCAAATTTGTTAGTTCAAATTTCTTTGGATTCCTAGAGTGAAAGGTTCAATAGCCTGTCTCTGATTGAGCATGTTACCTTCTTTGTGCTCTCTGTTATCTAACTTCTGGCTGAGTGAAGATTGTGGACCTGGATTGGGGAGGTAGTTGGGTACTATAAGTTGCAGCCCTTAATTTTTCCAAACCTCAGCACTTTTGGTTAATCAAAATGGTAGGACCGTCAACGTGTATTGTTCTCATATGTCAATGGTAGGGAAGAAAATTGGAAAAGGAAGTTGCTGAGAAAGAGGGCGTTTCTTAGCAGTGGAGCCAATATGTCTTTGTTTGAAATTCTAAAACCAGAAAGCAGTAACTGAAGGAGGAAGGAAGGAAAGAACTGTGAAACTCTTCTTCCCGTTCAGATATATGTAAGAGCTGTTTCTGTTGCTGTCCCTGTCCGGGACTCTGCTTTTACAGAAAAATCGATTGTAATTTGTTCAACGTTCAGAAATTATAATCTGGAAGAAAATAATTTTAAATCTTAAACCCTCTGAGGTAAACTTTTTAAAAAATCAGAACATTTACTTATTAGTGGATGATTCTTTTTTCTCAACATAATTAACCAATTGCAGTCTTTGGGTTAGTTTTACCATGACTTAAATTATTGCATTTTAACCTAAGAGGAACTGATTTGGTATTAGATAATGCAAATATCACCTTCACTTGAAAAACACATAATGGTGTGTCAGGTTTTTGACATTTGTTAAAAGTATTTTTAATGCTTTAATTAATTAGTTTAAATGTTTTATTTTAAAGGATTGTGTATTGTGAATAGTTGTTAAGACATTGAATTTATTGCATGTGAAGATCTATCTTTATTCTCAGTATTGGTTATATTTTCTGTTTAAGATTTAGTTTTAATTAGTATATCAGTCCACAGTACCTTGTGGCCAAATAAATAAATAAATAAAAATAAAAGTTCTTAGGGCCGCAGGTGTTTCTGAATTTAGAATTTTTTGGATTTTAGAAACGGAATGTGGTACACTCACTGTGATTATGTAACATCCCAGAGAGGTCTGGGGCAGCACCTTATAATTAAACCCATTACTATTTCTGTAATAAAATGTCAGAATATTTATACCAACTGGGATAAACAAATACTATAAATAGCCTCATGTCATTTCACATCAGGTTTTACTGCCAAATGAATAATGAAAAACTTGTTTTTTGCAGCCTTTTGGATTTTGGAATTGAAGTTAAGGGATTGTAGAACTCGATGGATAAAACATATATGATGACAAGAACAATTACAAGGAAAAATACTGTAAACCAAGCTAATTTCAAAGTCGTGGATTCTAAGAACAGTAACATAGAAGAGACTTTTTTTTTTTTCTTTCATACAATAATCTTATTCTAATTAATACATGCCAGTGTGGATTTTTCCTTAAGTACCAATTTTACCTTTTAATAAACTCATTGGTCCCTGTTTTAGATGTTTGACTAATACTTTATACCCCTCTCTCTTTTTTATGTTTTTATTGATTTTTAGAGAGAGAAACATTGATCACTTGTCTCCCAAAGATACCCCAATGGGAATCAAGCCCCACAACCTTGGAATGTGCCCTGATTGGGAATCGAACCAGTGATCTTTTGGTGCACAGAACAGTGGTCAATCAACTGAGCCACACTGGCCAGGGCTACTCCTCTTTTTAATAAAGTAATTTATAGTGTCGTATGTTCTTCTTTGTATAGCAATTAAGAGAATTGTACCTTTTCTATATAATTTAGAGAATACTTACCAGGTGAGGATCTGTAGACTCATGTTTGCAGAATTTAAAGCTGATGTTCCCTTCAGGGTGGTGTTTAGTATGTCATCACTGCTGGATAGGATTTATGTCAGAAATATTTATTTTTACCCTGGCTGAGAGGCTCAGTTGGTTGAAGCATCGTCCGTACGCCAGAAAGGTTGCAGGTTCGATTCCAGGTCAGGGCACATACCTAGGTTACAGGTTTGATCCCCAGTTGGAGTGTGTATAGGAGGCAACCGATTGATGTTTCTTTCACATCAATATTTCTTTCTCTCTCTCCCCCTTCCTCTCTCTTAAAAAAAAAAATCAATAAAATATATCCTTGTGTGAGGATAAAAAAAGAAAAGAAACATTTATTGTTAATTTATGAAGCCTCCACAATTTGCACATCTTGGAAAGGAGTTACTAAAATGTTCAATTTAGAGTATTTTTATTTTAAGCACATACTATATGAGAAACTTGATTTTACCAGCCTTATGAATTTGGGTGATTTCTTTAAATGGCCAAGGACCTCTAAGAGCAAATTTACAAAAACCCAGTCTACTCTTTTCTTGGACACTCTATAGACTGAGGTGACTGGTATTGTTGAAGGTTAAAGAATTATTTTTTTCTAAGAGAAGCTCCATGATGGCGTGAATTAGAAAGATTCTGGACTTCAGGATACCACATAGCCTTATCCTTCTACTTGGGGTGTCTCCACAGTTCCTGAGAATAGTACTGTCACTGCGTGGACGAGAGAAGGGTGTGGAAAAGTGTATCAGGAGTTGCAGGTGGAGTTGGTGTACAATTGGACTAGGGAATAGGAGCAATTCTTATCCAGATTACTCTAGTTTCTTCTGTTTTATGAGCACAGATAATACTGTAAAAGGATTACAAATTAGTGAACTAACGTCCTATTCCAAGTCCGTTGTTATTATAGATAAATTCTTCAAGACAGGAAATGTGTCTTATACTTCTTTTGTATTCTGTAATCCCTAAAGGCCAGGGAAGCAAACTTGTCTTGCATCAGAATTTACCATTTAGCCCTGGCTGGTTTGGCTCAGCAGTTAGAGCATTGGCCCGTGGACAAAGGAGTCGCGGGTTCAATTCCGGTTGAGGGCATATACCTTGATTGTGGTTGGGTCCCCAGCCCTGGTCAGGAGGCAACCAGTTGATGTGTTTCTCTCACATAGGTGTCCCTCCCCCTTTCCCCCTTCCCCCTCTTATTCTCCCCTTTTCCCCCCTCTATCTGAAGATAAGTGGGAAAAAAATATCCTCAGGTGAGGATTTAAAAAAAAAAAGAATTTACCATATTCATATTTGGGCCCTGGCCAGTTTGGCTCAGCAGTTAGAGCGTTGACCTGCAGACCAAAGGGTTGTGGGTTCGATTCCTGGTCGGGGGCATGTGCCTGGGATGCAGATTCAATACCTAGTCCTGGTTGGGGTCCTGTGGGAGGCAACCAATTGATATGTCTCACTCTTTGTTTCTCTCTCACTCTCTTTCTCTCTCTCTCTACCTTTCCCTTCCACTCTAAAAATCAATGGAAAAAATATCTTTGGGTGAGGAATACACACACACACACACCCCCATTTATATCCTGGGAGCTTTTAAAAACAAAATTTTTTTTTAAACTGATTTTTAGAGAGGAAAAGAGAGAGAGAAACATCGATGTGAAAGTGGAACATTGATTGGCTGCCTCCTGCACACCCTTCACTGGGGATCAAGCCCCCAACTTGGGCCTGTGCCCTGACTTGGAATTGAACCAGCAATCCTTTGGTGCATGGGACGATGCCCAACCAATTGAGCCACACTGGCCAGGCCTGGCTTGGGAAGTTGGATGTCAATGTACAGCCAGAACCACTGACATAAGCACATTGTAGGTTCTCAATAAATATATATTGATTAATTTACTATTGATCATGGCATGA